TGTAGACCAATTTGTAACTCATTTCATTCAGTATTAGTTAACGTTGCATCATCACTCATCAATGGATTTCATTGACATGATGGTATTGTCACTGGACTAGTAAGTCAGAACTTCCTGGCTAATGTGTGGAGACATGAGTTAGAATCCCAAATTTGAAATCAATAAGATTGGAAATGAATTAAAATCTATTCTAACAGAGACCATGTCAATTGTCACAAAAAATGATCTTGTTCACTAATGTTCTATAGGGAAGGAAATCTGCTGTTCTTATCTGGTCTGGTCTACATGGGACTGCAAACCCATAGCTAAGTGATTAGCTCTTAACTGCTTCCTGAAATGGTCTAAACCCACTCAGTTGCTTCTATCCATGACAAAGCCTAAAGAAAAATAAATTGGACACATGATTTGGCAGCAGAAACAACAATGGCAAACACAGCTCTGTCAACCCTGCAAACTCTTCCTTACCAATATCTGGGGACTTGTGCCAACACTGGGAGAGCTATCCCACAGACTAGTTGAGCTTTAGTCTGACATCATCATACTCATGGAATCATACTGTACAGACATTACCATAACTGTTCTCGGTATATCCAGTCCCTGCAGTAGACTCACCAGAGGTGGCATCACAGAGATATGCAGTCAGGAGTAAGTTGCTGGGAGTCCTCAACATTGACTGCAGGTCCACGGTGTCTTTAATTCTTCTTCCGCTGCATGGAGCTCCAAAGTCCATGCGTGGCTGCCAAATGCAGAAGTCGATGTGTCAGCAAGCTGACCAGCATACACAGGATCTCCAAGCTTACAGAGCTTGCACAGCTTACAGAGAAATTTGGTCCGGACCCCATAAAATAATATGGTATCAGGTCAAAGATGGGCAATGGAATCTCCTACTGATTACCACTAATCTGCTGCCCCCTACCTTGGCTGATGAATCAGTGCTGTTCTGTGTTGAACACCACTTGGAGGAAGGAGTGAAGGTGACAGTGGCACAGAATGCACTCTGGAAACTCTCAATATCCATTACCAAGGTTGGATCAGCAACTCCACTAGTGATCAAGATGGCCGAGGCCAAAAGGACATAACGCCTAGACTGGTTCTGTGACAGCTGGTGAGGGAACCAACAAGAGGGAAAGATCCATTTGGCCTTTGCCTCTACCTGCCATGGATGTGTTCGTTCAGGTCAGTTCTACAGGAGTGATTACCACACAGTCCCTTGTGGAATCTAAATCCCACCTTTACATGGAGGAAACCTTCCATCATGGTGTGTGCACCACCACAGTACTAAATGGGACAAACTTAGACAGACTTAGCAACTCAAACTGGCCATCCTTAGCACCCAGCGGATCATTGACAGCAGCAGAATTGTTTTTAACCAAAGTCTGTAACCTCATAGCCTAGTATATTCCTCATTGATGCTGCAAAGGCTATGGGTCCTGACAGTATTCCAATAACAGTTCTGAGAACATGTTCTTCAGAATTTGCTGCATCCCCTACGCAAGTCGTTCCAGTAGAGCTGCAACACTGGCATTTACTCAACAGTGAGGAAAACTGCCCACTTTTGCCAGTGCATAAGAAACAGGACATATCCAACCTGGCCAGTTACCACCCTACCAGTCTACTCTCCACCATCCCAGTGATGGAAAGGGTGGTTGTAGTGCTATTAAGCTGCATTTGCAAAAGAGTAACCTTCTCACTGAGGTGCAGTTTTGCATTAGTACAAACCTGGACAGAAGCAGCTGAAATCCAGAGGCGAGGTGAGCTTGATCATCCTTTACATTAGTACAACATTTGACTGAGAGTGGCATCAAGAGCCTACTAAAACTGAAGTCTGTAGGAATGGGGAGGAATACTCAACACTTTGGGTTCATACCTAACATAAATGAAGATGGTTGTGGTTGTTGGGGGTCAATTATCTCTGCAGGAATTCTTTAGGGTAGTGTCCTCGGCCCAACCATCTTCAGTTTCTTCAATGTCCTTCCCGCTATTGTAACTTCAGAAGTGGGATAGTGGGATGTTCACTGCGCAATGATCAGCACTATTCATGATACCTCAAATTCTGAGACAACCTGTTTCTGTGTGACCAAGATCTGAACAGTCATTCAGGCTTAGACTGACCAGTGGTAAATTATATTCATGCCACAAAACTGCCAGGCAATGATCTCCAATAAAAGACAGTTTAACCATCTCCCCTTGATGTCCAATGGCAATACTATCACTAAATCTTCACTATCAATTTCCTGAGGTTATCATTGACCAGATTGATCAGCACGTAAATATAGTGGCTACAAGAGCAAGTTAGAGGTCAGGAATCCTGCAGCGAATAATTCAGCTTCTGTCTTCCCAAAGTTTGTTTACCATCTACAAAACAAAAGTCAGGAGTTTGATGGAATACTCCCCATTTGCCTGGACGAGTGTAGTTCCAACAACAGTCAAGAAACTTGACATCATCCAGGACAAGCAGCCTACTTGATTGGCATCCCATCTACCACCTACAACATTCACCCCCTCCACCAATGATGTGGTCTGTACTGTCCAAAAGATATTGCAGTAACTCACCAAGGCTCCTCTGACATTACCTTCAAAACCTGCATCCTCTGCCATTTAGAAGGACAGTGGCAGCTGATGCATGGGAACACTGCCAACTGAAAGGTCTCCTTCAAGTCAAATGCCACCCTGACTTGGAACTATATCACTGTTACCTCACTGTCAGTAGGTTGAAATCCTAGAACTCCCTTCTAACTGCATTGTAAGTGTACCTGCACCCTGATATCTGCAGTGGTTCAAGAAAACAGTTCAACACTACCTTCTCCAGGGCAATCAGGGATAAGCAATAAATGATGGTCTAGCCAGCAATGCCCATATCGCATTAACAATTTTTTTAAAGTGAGTAATCTACTTTGTTTCTGCTTCCAATTTTAATCAAATTTCAATTTGTTATTTTAATAGATTCACTATACCTAGTGTTTGTTGTAATTTTACACAGTACGTATCAGTAATAAAGTGTGTTTTCAAGGTACTAAAGAAATGCTGAACTTGATACAAGCACTCCATGACTCAGTTTTTGGAAGACATCTCAGAATGCAGCCACGTCACAAAGAAATAATAAAGCAGAGAAAAGGAATTGAGTGATCAGTTTGCCTCGAGCAGGATGTTTTACCCGATATGGCAATACTCATGTTGACATATGCATTATGAGAAACTGTGTATAGATATTGTGGTATTTGATGAATTCAACAGACGTTTATTGCAGGTAACTATTGTACATGAGCACTACATTCCTCAGACATCTAAGTTTCTGGGTTAATATTAAGCTAATAGTTTACAACAGATGAACATGCTTTCAGTAGGGAGTCCTGCTTCAAGTGATCTGAGGTAAGATGGAGTATGAGATCTTTATGCCCTTAAGTCACATGCTCTGATGCAATTTTGATATCACGAGCATATCTGTTAGAAGTTTACTTGCATGTTGTCTCATAGTGGTATACTGTCATACTGACAGTGAACAGTAGTGCATAAAAGGAGATGACAGATTAAATCAGTGGAGGAAAATACTTACAACGCTGTTGATTGCCACAACAACGTACACTTACATTTTACCTTTGATGCAAACCAAAAAATTCCCAAGTGTTTGACAAAGATGAAAGATAAAGGTAAAAACCGCAAAACAAAAACTATCTAGTCATACACAGCCAGATGGATAGGTGCAATCCCAAAGGGGTGTAGTTACCATGTATGATGTACTGTTACAGCTCTACCTGGAATACAATGTACAATTTTTAGTGCTCTATTATGGCAAAGATAGCCATGCATTTAGAACCAGTGAAGAAAGGGGAACTCAGCAGATCCCTAGTTTAAATGCCCAACCTATGTGGAGTGATTAAAGAACTTGGAATTCTCTTACCCCGAAGCAGAAAAAACTCAGGAAGGTATTTTTCAAACTTTCTTCACTTTGTTACTATAGCTTAATTGAAGGTGTGGCAAAAGTTACATCTGCATGTGGTGAAGTTATGACAATAAATGCTATTTCTGGGTCATTCTTCAAATGTAATCAGTGTTTGTGAGGGATGAAATGATTTTGATTTTAATAAGTTAAAGGTGTCATGAACTATAGAGGGACACAAGCTCCAAATTGGAAGAGGGAAAGTTCACAAAATAGACAAACTTTAAGTATTTTATAGAGAAGGTTTGTATGTGAAATGGACTGCCCAGAGTGCTAGTGGTTGTGCAGGTTAATTTATGGGAAAATTGGTGGATATTTGTGAGGGATGGGTGATGTATCCAACTTCCGAATACAGTTGGTAATTCTTTATAGGGGACTTTTCTAGTTCAGTATTTTCCAAAGTTCTAAACATACGTTCACATTACAATTTACTTGCTTATTAATGTTCTTGAACCGACATCGTCAAACCATTTAATGTTTCATATAGTAAAATGGTGTCTCTCCTTAAAGAATTTCCTTCTCCAGTGCTGAACTGAATTTTCTTTAGTGGTTCCTTGTAGTTTATCCTCTTCACACGGGAATCAGCTGTGCCGGTGTTTTCTGCACCCTTTCTAAAAGAAGTAATATGATGACTGAAAATGAACGCAGTATGATAAAGTTTATGACCTAGAAATGTGATTACCCAACACATTTTTTAAAAATGGAAAACAGGTGCTACTCTTCCCAAGTGTGATGCACACATGTTGAATCCAAAGGAAAAATTCCCTTCGTCCTACATTTGTTAGGATGCTGTGCAGTTGCCTTGGCTATCCATCTGAAACAGTCATTAGGCCACAATATCATGAAGCCTTTTTGTAGTTTGTTCCCAACCGTAGCTTCCTTGGTGATATTGATGCATATGTTCCCCTGTAGTCTGACCAAATTATTAGAACAAATTCTACAGCCTTGGGAGATATTTGTGAGCATGTTACAGCTAATTTTTAACATTGATTTCATTATAATATTAGTTAATGCTTTGTGACTCATTACATTGGTGAAAAGTACCTTTTTTCTTCCTCGATAGACCACAGTATGGAGGAAAGTTCTGCGATGGTATTCATCGTACATACAAGCTTTGCAATAATCAAAAATGCCCTAAAAATAGCGTTGATTTTAGATCACAACAGTGTGCTGAATACAACAGCAAGCCATTCCGAGGGTGGTACTACAACTGGAAGCCATATATTCATGTTGAGGGTAAATATCCTTTTTGGGCTTCAAGTTATTGCTTTGCAAATCGTAAGCGATATTATGTATCCTGTATTGTCAAATGTGAATATTATTTTGTTTTGTTAGTATAAAAGTAATTTTTGATTTCAAAATGAGCTTACAAATGCAGATTACTGTTATTATTGCATCGAATCTTTACATAATAAAATGTCTCAAGCAGCCTCTTGTATGTGAGGATAGACTGAATATTAGTAGGAGACTCAAAAGGCAAAAACAGTTATCAAAAATATGTTGGAGGATGCTTTTAAAGTCAGGAAAAAGCAGGGGAAAAGAGGTTGAGGGATAAGGTTTCAAAAGGTTAGACTTGGATAGATAACACATACAGAGTAAAGAATATCATTCCTGCACATAAGTGGGGGATGACAGAAATGTGATTAGGGCAGAGTTGAAAAACTGTAGGAATGGGCTGAGATTAAAGGCTGAAACATTTACAAACTCAAGTTGTTGAAAGACCAAGGTATGATTTGTTTATCGGTACAAACATTTTGAATTGATGCCTTGGGAGATGTGAAGGATCTGAAGGTTATTAATTGGATCACGGATATAGGCAAGCAGGACATATGTGGTAAAAAGAGCAGACAGCAGAATTTTGAACAAGTTGCAGTTTGTGTAGAGAGATGCTTAGGAGATATTTGAGGAGCTTTTTCAAGAAAATCAGTGTTGACATTACAGAAGTGTAGCTATTAAGTGGCATGTGAGTGAGCCAGAATAGAGTTCGGTAATGTTACCTAGGTCTAAGTATAAAGACCTAAAAAGTGGATTGGATTCCCCTGATGACAGCCATAAAAATGGATGCTGAAAGGTGTTATATGGTGGGTTGCCAGCACATGGTTCTTCCTTGACAAAAGTGCAGTGGTTGCCACGTGTAAAATACTTCTCCATATTATCCTGGGACCATGCCTGAAAAAACTCCTTACGTATGTTAAATCTGTTGGTATTCATACAACAGTCGGTTTCTTCAGGCATATGAAAGACAAGCCAGCAGACCATGAAGGAACCAGTGAAGGCTCTTGAAAGGGAGCATTTGAGTCACCAAATTTTGCAATCAGAATGAGCACTTGGTTTTGTCTGGGTACAGTGCAGTCCCTATAGGTGGCTGAGAGAAATTTCAAAAGTGCTCAGTCTGTTGGACATTGGAAATTTAACAGACAATTTCTTTTTCACATTGGAAGGAAATACTCCCACTAGTGAATTCATAGGTTTACATTATTTAGCTGGGATCAGAAAGCTCACTCCATACATTCAAATCAGATTCAGACTGTCCTTCCTGGGAGGGGACGAGCAACTTGCAGGAAGCTACAGCCTGCAATAAGACTCAGTCCTGCCAGCAGCACCTTACATTACACAGAAAGTAGTATCTATCAGTTAACTTCAGCTTACTGAGCATTGTTAGGAAGAAGTGCAGATGTAGCATTTTCAGCTTTAATCCCGCACTGATCCTGTGCCATTGTCATCACTTAGGTTACATAGCACTTTAGGCAGCATTATATCTATTTTTATTGAATTAAACCAAACTTTTATGCAAAAACATTGTAGTAAAGCAAAATATTGAAGATGCTGGAAATCTGAAATAAAATCAGAACATCGTGGAAATATTCAGCAGGTCAAGTAAAAAGAGAGAGTGTATCAGAGTAGCATTTCAGATCAAGGACCATACATCACTATTGGTCACAGATTAAAGAATCATAGAATCCCTACAGTGCAGAAAGAGGCCATTTGGCCCATTGAGTCTACACCAACCCTCCAAAGAACATCCCACTCTGACCCAGCCCCATCAACCTGTCCCTGTAACCCCACATTTACCTCGGCTAATTCACTTACCCTGCGCATCCCTGGACAGTACAGGGGCAATTTAGTATGGTTCATCCACGTAACCTGCACATCTTTGGACTATGGAGGAAACCGGAGCACCAAGTGGAAACGTATGCAGGCACATTGGAGAACGTGCAGACTCGAAGCAGATAGTCACCCAGGGCTGGAATTGAATCCGGGTTTCTGACGCTGTAAGGCAGCAGTGCTAACCACCATGCCACTGTGTCACCGTGAAACAGTTAAATTCTTCTCTATCAACTGATGCTGCCTGACCTGCAGAACATTGCTTGCAGGTTCTTTAGCAGTTTTTAAAAGGCTTTAAATTAATCTTCAAACTGTTCTGCACAATTTAAAAATTAATTTTTAGTGAATTCCTGTGCTCATCAATATGAGGGCTGTCAGACTTGGGAAGTTTTTTTTTATTTTTGTCACCCATTGTCACCATCTTATGTTTTTCGTCTTGGTAGATTTGGGCAAAAAAATTAACAGCCTGTTATAACTGTTTCTCTGACGACAACAATCTTGCTGCAGCCCTATTTCTGGGAGGTTGGGATGCTCTGTTGCACACCCCTCTTCCTGCATCAAATGCACACAGCTGTCCGCTTATATGCTTTTGGGGCCAGAACTAACAGGGAGGCTCTTGTATGCCCCCACACAAATATTGAGAGCTGCTGCTGTTTCACCAATTCAGTCTCACTGCCTTCCCTTCTAGGACCTACCTGTGACTGCAGCCAGTATTACTGATAGCCACAGTTCTTGTTGCCAAATCTGGCGAGCTGGCTTGAGATGCCTGTTTACTATCTGTAGATCATTTAGGAAGATTAAAATGAGGCCCAGACCTGAAAATCTCAGCAAACTCTCAGCTGTGGAAATGGACAAGCTGACTTGAAGTCAGCATCTACCCAATGGGTGTTGAAGAGCAATTTATAACCTGTTAGTCAGAATTGTATGACACTACCGACTGCAATGGGCACTGTTTTCAACTTCCTATATGACCATTCTTATAGATGAGCGTGCCAATTTGTGGGCATTTTTGCCAACTGAAATCTTTACTGAGACATCTATGTTTGTTTTGCATGAGTCTGTGTCAAAAAAAGAGGAACCAATTGTCTCATCAGTCTGTGCTCAATTCAAAACCAGAACAGCATGACTGCCAAATGCAATGATAAGTGCAGCAATCTAAACTTTAGAATTTACAGCAGCTGTCTGTGGTGCATGCCTTTAATTAAATTTATTCTGAGTACTTCAAGATTTAATGAACAGATTGGTATGAATCACTTGTTATAGTTCAACAAAAGAACTATTCTTTCTCCAAAAGATAAATAGCATATTATGCCTTGGAAAATCTAAGCCCATGCTTATATTGCATTTAAGACTTATCCTTCTTAGAGTTTGTTTGAATCTTCTTTTGTGCTCAGTATATTTATTTCCAAATTGGTAATAAATCTAATATATCCATTTGTCGTTTACAGACCATGATCTTTGCAAACTCTATTGTGCAGCAGAAGATTTTGACTTCTTTTTTGCTCTTTCAAGTAAAGTCAAAGATGGAACACCATGCTCTGAGGAAAGAGCTGACGTATGCATAGATGGTGTATGTGAGGTAAAATGGATTAGTTGTGATTATTCCCATACCCATATACCCAGCCTGCCACAGACTCTATAGATACAAAATCTGTGCAACAATACAGCTGAAAACTATACAATATATGTGGTTTAGTTTTAATATCCTCCCTTTCAAAGTGCAGGAAGTCAACATAAGACATATGTAATGTCATTTTAAAAACAGAAGCAAAATTGAATTTCTTGTGCACTGGTACCCCAGTCTGAAATAACTAAAAGATAAATCAGCCTATTTAGGGGAGTTTTAACCCCCAAGGATGGATTGCTAAGGGCAGGTGAAAAGGTAAACAATATGGTCATGAGGTCAGTTTAAATGTTCAAAAACGCCTCAAACCTACCAACTTTTCAATTTAACTGAAGCAGATTGAGAATTGGGTAATTTACTGCAGTGGTAGGTGGCTTACTGAAATCTTTCAATTGTAACCCATGGATGCCTGGTTTCCCAAGACTGGAGACTTGGGGCAGAATAGCAGTTGAAAGTGACCAGACCCATGTGGTTACTGCATTTAAACCACTGCTTGTAGGTCAAGGGAAGCAGTACTGCTTCATCTAGGACCAAAAAGCTTTCAGTCCTTTTCTTTTGCCCTCCACACATGCTGGCTGTCCTGCTGTGTATTTCTGGCATTTTCTGCTATTTAAGATTACAAGCTTACCCCTTAACAGATCCCTCGCAACACCCCGAATCTCCATTGCCAGAAGGGTGCATGCCCAACGCTCACCCCAATCTCAGACTGCACTCCCACAATATTCGGCTTACTAGCAGTGCACCCTGACTTTGTTCCCACCTAAGAGGCCTGTCAATTAGGCTGTTGCACCAAGAACTCCGTTCATGTTATTTTAAAGACATTTCTGGTTGAGGAATCCACACGCTACCCTCCCCTCAGCCCCAAGCAAGTATTGAGAGCACTCTTGATATCATAGTGATGTGAGCATATCAAAGGACTGGAAGTTAGGCTTTGGACTGACAATGACGGTTCGCATTCTCTCATAACAGGATTTTGATGTCTTCATTTTTTTTAAGTTGAATGAGGCAGGAGGAGGGACTCCCAACACTAGAAGTAATCACATCTTCATAGTTTGGAGGAGCCTCACACTTTATCAGCAATTTCTCAAGCCACCTGTGAATCTAGCCTGGGAATGTAGCTTAGGTACTGAGCAATACAGCCTATTTAGAAAGAAATGCTGTCGAAGAAGAGTTGATTTTTTTTTTCTTTTCTGAGGGATGAAGGTCCCTTAAATTTATTCCTTTTTCAACCAATGTTTCTACAATTATAACCTTTTTGACATTTGGGCGCACATACCAGCTACACCCCTAGTGATGTCAGCACCAGCCTGTGTTAACGTAAACACAGGTCTCTGTAAGTCTAGATATGGTCATGAGGTCAATTTAAATGCTCTGTCTGAGCACATCCTGAACTTTACTCAGGAATCAGTCCCACGTGGAGTTTTCGCTGGATGATGCTTCATTCTGAAACAAGGAAGTCCTAATAAAATACCAAGGCCAGACCGACATCAATAGAAGGATTTGCGCTTGTTTCAAAAAATTATTGTAATTCATTATGAAATGCTTAACTCAAACCATTAATAATCAGTGTACTGCAATAATCTACAGTCTCCATAAAATGTGCAGAATCAGAAATAGCCTTCCAGAGGTAACTGCCTAAATAAGAAATGGAATTACAAAATGCTGTTTTTCCACACGTTTATAATCCAGCAAGTGTTGTTTAGTTATTATCTTATGGGGAACCTGCAACTAATTTGTTGAAATCCCACTGGCAATTGTTTTGTTTCTTTTGGCAAGAACTTTTTTTGTGGTCGCTCCTGATTTCAGTTGAGATAGCAGAGGAAAAAGAGGCAACGTTGGGTGGCAAGTCTTGGGCACTGCAATCCCCAAATACCCCCAGCTCTAAGCCAGCCACCCCGCCTGCCAATCAGACAAGTGGCTCCTATTACTACAGCCCCCTCCCACCCCCCAGACCACCACCAATGATGCTTGATGCAATCACTGCATGTAATTTCCAACAGAGGAGGACAGTATGTTTTCCTGCTCCATTTCCCCACCTGTCTATCCTGCTCATCACAGGTCTGGTTAAAAATAGCTTTAGATGTAAGCTAGCAGCAGTAAAGGCCCTGATCTCTAACTGGAGGGCATAGGTCCAATAGAGGTTTATTCTCATTCCGCTTCAGGCCTTACACCTTCAGAGCTGTATTGGTTCTTTAATGTCCCTCACTACCTGATTGGGTACTGTAATACTAGTCCAAGCATAAGTCTTCCTAACTTTCCTTGTTGAAATCAGCAGCCTTCCTTTTAGCAAAGTGAGTTTTGTCAAAAGCCCACCTTCCATGCTAAGGAGCTGCTGCATATAATGCTTTCTATTATCCCTTTTGCCCTGAAAGATAATCTGTGTTCCTGATGCAATCACATGAATGTTGTAATTTCATCAGCTCAATTTCTTTTAAAATTAATCATTCATTCAAGAATATTTGCCATATTCAAGCACTGATAGAGTTGTTTACCTGAACCAGTCAGTTTGCCTAAAAGAAAACAGTCAAAACCACACTGATAATAAAGAAGTAAGCTTCTTGTTGCCCAGAGTAGACTTACAAAACCCTCATGGAACAGCTACTGTCAAATTGCTCCATTAGTGATTCAGACTGAGTGGAGATTGATTACTCAATTAGAGTGCCCCAGCAGTAAAGGAGACATTCCACTGTTACTAAGGCCCCTGAGTAAAATGTTGAATAAGAATGGTGCCCTTTGTGAGGAATAATTCTGATTGAATATAGTCTTATAATGGTTTCTAACAACTTTAAAATAGATTTATGTGAATTGTGTTCCCAATAAGGTACAGAACCAGAGGCACCCTGCCATTTTCAGTCATTCAGTCAAAATCACATGTAAATTATATAGCATAATACCTAACTGATGTGCGTTTATCTCTTTTCATTGCTCACAGGCAGTTGGATGTGACCGTGTACTGGGTTCTAATGCTGTGCCTGATGCATGTGGGGTCTGCAAAGGAAACAACGCAACCTGTAAAATCTATAAGGGCCAATACAGCAAACAGCACTATGTCAACCGTATGTTTGATCTGTGTAATGTATTGAGTCTTTCAGTCTATTACTCGTTTAAGTAATTGCCTTTCTGATGTAGAATCCAAAGCTTCGTGCCTCATAAGTTTCTTGGACAATTAACATATAAAATTTAAATCAGTACTCACATTCATTTGCTTAATTCTTAACCTATAATTGTCAACATATCTAGGCCTTCTAATTTAGAATTTGGCTGCATAGTTGGCAAGAACCCCAAATAACATAATGTGCAAACCATAAGGCCTACAAAATTAACAGGACAATTCAATGAGAGTAAAAAACATTTCAGCGCGATAAAGTTAATTTGTTTGGAAGTCAGACCAATTGACAGGCCTCAAATGGCCCAAAGGCCATAATTTTACATCTATACTGCGGAGACAGTTAGGATGATAAGTATTTTATATAGTTGGGCTGACTATACAAGGAATTTTCTTCTCTTTGCATGAATATTCTGCTTCATATTTGGCACAACTTTATGGCAGCCCCAATTTATTCAACAAATGGAATTCATTTCTATGAAATCCAAAACAGTATGGATTTATCAGGTGGACCCCCTTCCCAAATTTGCATTCCCGTCAAGCAAGATTCATAACAGGACAGACATCTCACAATGTATACCAGCTACCTTCTTTGGTTGGATATTGCTCTGGAAGAATATGTTTGAGAGTCTGACCACACGTCTTGCTACTTTATTTTGTATCTTTTGACATAGAGCTCAAAATGCTTTGCATTTACACGCTAAGAGTGTATAAACTGAAATGAATTTTCATTTCTCTCCGACAGAATACTACACGGTAGTTGTTATTCCTGCAGGAGCACGTAGCATTCGTGTATATGAAGTAAATATCTCCAACGCTTACATTGCTGTTAGAAACCAACAACAAAAATACTATCTCAATGGCCATTGGACATTGGATTGGCCTGGTCGGCACAGATTTTCTGGCACAATATTTGATTATAAAAGGCCCTTCAATGGCCAGGAAAGCCTTTCTGCCATGGGCCCTACGAATGAAACATTAGTAATAGAGGTATGTTGGTGCATTCTTTCAGGAAAACAAGCCACAATTCTTGATGTGGTAACATCATCATTCAAGCATTAATAACAACCAATGCACTGTTTCATCAGTCTTTCTGACTCATTTTTTGTGTGAATGTTGCACAGTGATGACACAATAAGGGATTGCAATTTTGTCTACTGAAGTGAAATCACTAGTTGAGAAATATATGGCCCTCTGTTTCATCTCCTATCAGCTGAAAGATTTTTTTCATTATTCATTCACGGGATGAGGACGTCGCTAGCTAGGCAGCATTTGTTGCCCATTCCTAATTGCTTAGAGGGCAGTTAAGAGTCAACCACATTGCTGTGGATCTGGAGTCACATATAGGTCAGACCAGGTAAAGATGACCGTTTCCTTCCCTAAAGGACATTAGTGAACCAGATGGGTTTTTCTGACAATCGACAATGGATTCATGGTCATCATTTGGTTCTTAATTATAGATACTTATTGAATTCAAATTCCACCATCTGCCGTGGCAGGAGATACATGTGACTATCATCAATGGAAATGAGAGGTAAAAGAATAAGAACTAGGAACAGGAGTAGGCACTGCAGTTCTTCAGCCTGCTCCACTATTTAATATGATCATGGCTAATTTCATCTCAGTTCCAACTCCACTTTCCTGGTCATTTTTAATTGTCACTAACTGAAAAACCTCTCTATCTCCTCCTCAAATTTACTGAATGTCCTAGCATCTGCCATGCTTTGGGGAATGAATTCCACAAGTAACTCCTCTTCATCTCTGCTTTAAATCTGCCACTCCTGAACCTAAAATGATGACCCCTCATTCTAATCTGCCTAGAATCTGGAATAGGCGGAAATGATATTCATACTTGATATTCATTATATAGTTACTGAATGATAGTCATTGTGGGTCAACCCACAGCAGGAGGACTGCAGCCGTTCAAGAAGCAGCTCACCACCAGCTTCTCAAGGGCAACTAGCTATGGGCAATTAGTACTGCCAGCCAGGACTACCCACATCCCACAAGTGAACAAAATAATATGCTACCAGTTGTCATGACCACATCGTTAGTATCCTAAGAGTGGCAAGTTTATTAAGAATTTGTACAAGGTTCTTAAAAAGCCTCTTTTGTTTTTTGAGTGTTTCAATTTTAAATAACCAGCTACTCGGCTTTATGCTTAAGCAAGATAAAAGCAAATTCATCACAAAAGTACTACTGCAGTTGTTAAAATAAAAGTGGTGAACTTATTATCTACAAATACAGATACGAAAGACCAAAAATGGATAAGGACAAAAGTTGTTTATAGAGATGAAATTAAGATCAATCTCTAAGATCATTGTAGACCTGTTGCTTGCTTTAAGATTCTGTTTCCATAGTGGAGGAATTAAAAGCGTAGTCAGATTTCAGCAGTTGTGATGGCTTCTGTAGCTGAATAATTGGAGACTGCTTCCACAGGTGGAGTGAGCAGAACAGGTCCTAGGACATGGTGAAAGCTCCTGTGTTTCAATGTTTCAGTGCAGCAGGTTGTTGCTCACGATAACCTTGGGTAAGTACAACAGGCCTGGACTCCTTCCTCCTTCTCCCACATTGAGGAACAGTGACTTCTTTGTGACGTTTCTCTCATGATCTCTAAACAAAATGTTTGCTTACAGACAGACTCTTTCATATAGATCAAAACTCAAAATTGTTGCTATCCCAAAATTGTTGCAACATGCTCCCATATCAGGCATTGGATCTGAAACCAGACGCAGTCATTGGCCTTCTCTCGAGGTCATTAACATTCTTAATATCTCCCTATTACCTCAGATGGCTCTCATCCTGTCAGTTTATTGGTGAGACAGGAAAACTATTTGAATCTGCAGAAGTGCCATTATCAAGGAGTTTCTATTTACCTTTGAAAATGCTCATTGAATTTCAGAATGCCTCCTGTGATGTCTTCCTGAGATACTTACTGTCTGGTCGCAGTACCAGAGGCACTAAGAGGTCCATGATGTATGAGTCCAGGCAGATTCTTGGATACATAGTGTAGACCTGCAATATTTGGCTCTTGTTTTTACAAATTATTTGAACATTGAGGAAGTGGAATCCTTTTCTGTTGACAAAGATTGCTTGTAGTTGACAGGTTGCTCTTAGAGGGAAAATCCAGTTTTTAAAAAAGTTAATATTTTGAAATGAACATACTGATCATAATGAAGCACTGTTCTGAAATATACAAAACAAATCACATCAGTATGCATCATTCACAAAGTTGTAATGGGTGTTTCTTCTGGGAACCAGTTGCACCCTGCACCTACAGGAAGCCAGTCATGACTGAGAATTGTAAAGCCCTCACTTCATGACTGGCCCGATCAAAGAGAAACAATATGACAGGTGGGTTCTGGGTGAAGATAGGATCAGTGATATCCCAGATGTGGTTATGAGGAGAGCACTGAAATGCCATGGAGAGCTCCATTTGATCCCTGAAACACTCAAAAACATTAAGCATGACTGTAACCTTTAGAACTACCGGGATGTAAATGATAAGAAGGAATTTCAGTTGTTCCGTAACAACCTTAACCCTGGTATAGACCACATCTATAGCCACGGAAATATCTGTCTGTTCCCGAATTAACAAATCCACAAGTACAACTGCTCTTCCCTTCTTCTTACCCTGTAAAACTGAGCTGCCTATAGGGCAATGTCCTTGGTTCTGACTACAATGGCCTCACAGGATCCAAAACTGATTAGTGAGCTGGACTTTGCAGTACCTATATAAACCGAAAGAACTACAGATGTTGTAAATCAGGAATAAAACATTCCTGCATACGTAGTCTTCTAGATCAGCATTAAGATCCGTGATGGTCCGCGTATTACATGGAGATGTGTTCCATATAACCACAATGCCCTGCTTTATTTTAAAGTTAACGTGAGTGATGTAAAGTCATTTCACTTTATTTTACTGATGTTTTCTTTATTTTATTTGGTGTTGACCTAATAAACCTTACGACTATTGATAAACCATACCAGTACTGATAATTCTGATCAATGCTTAACGCAAACAAAAACAGAAAATGCTAACAAAACTCGGCAAGTCTGGTAGCATCTGTGAAGGGAAAGCAGAATAAATGTTACAGGTTCAGTGACCCTTCTTCAGAACTGATAGTAACTAGGAAAAGGTGGTATTTATGCTAAAGACAAGGGGTTGGAGGGAGGTGTGGAAAGGGAATGAGCAGATAGACACAGATGAAGCCCAGAGAGATGGAATGACAGTTAGGGAGACAAAAGGACAAAGGAGAGTGTGCTCAGAAGTATGAAAATGGGTTGGCTGTATCGAAAGCAGCCTATGTTATGACAGGGCCTAGGCTGTGAGGGTGAATAAAGGACATGGAAGAAGGTGTTCAGGTTCTAAAATTATTGAACTTAGTATTGAGTCCTGAAGGCTGCAGGGTCATTGAATGATATGAAGAACCCCTACAGTGCAGAAAGGGGCCATTCAACCCATCAAGTCAGCACCTATCCTCCAAAGAGCATACCAACCTCAGCCCTCCAACCTCCCCTATAACCCTGCATTTCCCATGGCTAATCCACCTAGCCTGCAAATTACGGGACACTTTATCATGGCCAGTCCATCTAACCTGCACATCTTTGGACTGGAGGAGGAAACTGGTGCACCTGGCAGAAATCCCCAAGTGGAAAATGACATGCTATTTTTCCAGCTTGCACTGAGCCTCACTGTAGCACTGCAGCAGGCCTGAGACAGAGATATTGGCCAGGGAACACCATGGTGTGTAGAAGTAGCAAGCAACAGGAAGCTTAGGGTCATTTTTGCAGACAGAAAGTATGTTTCCACAAAGCAGTCACCTGCCTGTCAACTGCCGGTACTAGTCAATTCCATGTTTAACAAGGCAACCAGACATCCTTGAAATTTGTGAACTCTTAAGTCAGAGCCTGACCCTCAATCTTAAACTTGGAAAAGACATGCCAGAATTTACCAAATAAACCCAATTTTCTATTCACGTGGGTCTACGTCTCACACAGTCATAGTTGCCTGACCATGTGCCCAGCATTCCCTCTAATCTTTATTTCTTCTGTGCAGAGCCTCTGTGGGCTGTGCACAACAGTGACGTCTGGAACCAGAATTCAGGGCCGCAGTCGGTGCCGATCACCATGCACAGATAGTAGGAACGTTGCATGTGTCCATTATTGACCATCCCTCTTTGGCGTGATTTTTAACTCGCCATCTCAGGAGGGAGAGCGTAATTGCAATAGTTTTCCCTTACCTAATTAAGTCATCATGCTCACGATTATCCTCGCCACCTCAGGAAAGGGGAAAATTGTTAATGGGCGCAATGTTTCTGCTAGCTTGAGATATTTCTCCCAGTTCCAATTGAGTCATGTGTTCATGAGGATTTTCTCAAATCTGAACAGGCAGTGAAGATGTTGCAGTGTTATAAATTGTTTGATTCAAATCTTATATGATACTCCTGTAAGTGCACAGCTTAAAGAAGGGAATTACCTAATTTTGCTTTTTAAATACTTTTCTTGCCATTGGCACACCAAGATTAAAAGTTAAGTAATGTAAGTTTCTTCAGGATGGATGGGTGTAACTGAAGTATGATTTAATCTAATAGCATTTGGAACACCTTAACTCGGTATAGAACTGGAAGATTATAATCAAGATAATATTGTATTTGATTGGAAACAATGTCATGCATGTAAATCTCCTGAGAATGGGAAGTAATGGTAAACTGCCAAGAACTGTCATAATGCAATATTCTCATGAAACCCATAATGTGCTTAGTAGCTGGCACATTAGAAAAAGGGTTTATGAGACACATGGGATTATTATGATGCTTTGTTATGATGATAATTTGGCACCAACAACATTTTGTATGATTGTTGTCAGAAGATGGAAAATCGAATGTCACCATAAACCCATAATTGTGTGATAACTTTTAGGGATCCTAAGATACCAAATCCACATTTCAACTTCCAATTTTAAAATGTCACAGTAAAAATAAAATGTA